ATTTAGAAAGACAATTTGGTCATCTACTGCTTGCCTGCAAATTGGGTCTACATTTTCATTTTTTTGTTAGTCAGTGTTGTATTTTTCCAGTGTTGCAAAGTATTTTCATATCAAGAGGCTATGTTTTCAGTGCAGATACCCCACCTTGCGCATGACTACTTAGTGAGGTCTGTTTTTCAACAAATCCTGGAAGTGTACATACACGTAAACTTTCTTATTCTAGAATATCACTGTGGAGTGTCTGTGAGATTCATAGAGGAATTTTCAATGCCTGAATTCACCACACACTTCTCATTCTTAGCTGGGCAGTTCCTAGTTAACTCGAGTGAGTGTTTGTGCAGCTGTTCCAATAGGCAGGCTTTCAACTGATTTGAGCATATTCTCCTTGTAGCTCTGTAGCTTGGTGCTCCACATTTGCTGTGGCATGCCACAAAGAAGGAAACGTTTCCTTAGATCTAATTAACTTATTTTAATAGTCTTAGAGGATTCTGCAAGGAGTAGCTCATTTGGTAGAGTACCTTTTAGGACAGTGGTACAGAAGTCATCCCTCTGTACCAAGTTTTCATGCTAAGCGTAACTGGTAGGCAAGATATTTTATGATTCTTAGGCAGCTTTTTGCACATAACCACGAGACTGATTCAAAAGCCTCTGATTTTAATTATGAGCACATTCCCAAAACAGAAAGGAATTAAAATTTTCATAGACTGTAACTATTTTTATTCCATATTGAGATAAATTAGTCAAGTATGCATTGACTTTGTGAGCTATGTGTGGCCTTGACAACAACTTAGTATCTATTTCAATAAAGTTTTTATGATCCAAGCTAAATATAAAGACTCCAAAGTGATCCATTTTACCTACAAGCGGTACTTGTATGCTTAATGTGGGGTATGGGCTATGCTTGAATACCTTGCTGGATATTCCCCTTCACCTCTGGGCAACTAAGGCAGAGACCTAGCGCTCAGCTTTCTCATCCCTAATATGCAAGTACTGTTAATACAATGTATTTTAGGTAGTGTTTATTAAACATTTAAGTGTTATCCAGGGTTAAAAAATGTTAGAAGACAGCAGATTTTTCTTCTGAAGTGCTAAATAGTTTTTTAGCGCTTTTGAGGGCAAATTAAGCATGCACATTGTTACAAATAATAACATGAAAAAGTGGCTCTGCATATCTGTCTGATACCCCACCACAAGCTCTCTGCCTGTGCCTTGTACTGCCATCCCACTTATTCCTGACATCAAATCATGGTGGTAGACTGGTTCAGCAAAGACATCAAACATTTGACTTGTATAAGACACTGTGTATCATCTATCAACTTTGTGAAATTGACTGAGCAGCCTTTCCCAACAAAGGTGGTCACAACAATTTCATAGGGAAGGAAATACAGACAGCTGCCTTTTGTACTTTTTTTTTTGTCTGGGCACTTTTCAGAGAACTTCAAGGCTGCTCAGATGTATTTGTAAATTTTACTCTGTTCTCCTGTTTCCTTCCCCATCTTTGTTCTCCCTCTCTTGCTTTCATCATTCTGTCCTGTGAGACTTCCTTTTTTTTGTGCAATTTTTATACAATAACATTATGCACATATGCATGTATTATTACTCAGTGGGCTTTCAGAGACCAACTATTAGAATTGTTAATAATCCATGACTCCATTTATCCTTGCTTTCATTTAAAGTTCTTGGGACTTGTGCAGGTAGATCATTAAATGCCTAATTTATGACTCCAGGTTGTGAAGTATGGCCAGATTAAGTATTGGCAGTTTATTCACAAAGAACTTTATAAAATTCTATTTCAGTCTCTCAAAGTCAAGCAGTTAAAATCAAACAATGTGTTTGAGAAGACTGAAGTCATTCTGTGAAAAATTCTCAGTGTAGATTTGTCCAACAAATACCTTAGAATGATAACTAAATCACAATAATAAAATCTGCAATAATGTATGTGGAATTTCATGCGCTGAGATGATTGACCTGATCTGAAATGAAAGCTCTTCACTGACTAGTGAAACAGCACTGCCAATATATCACATACAAATACTTAAAGAAGCCATTTAATTAGCAAAGACAGAAACATAAAACAAAAAAACAGAAAAGGAAAAAAGAGGAAAATTGACATTTGAGGTGCCAAATGTAATATCAGTCAATTTCTCAGTAAACTTAGAATCATAGAATTTTTCCAGGGTTGGGGGCTCCACTACCTCTCTGGGCAACCCGTTCCCGTGTTTCACCACAGTCATGGTAAAGAATTTCTTCCTAATATCCAGCCTAAACCTACCCTGTTTTAGTTTAAAACCATTAACCCTCGTCCTGTCACTGCTGTCTCTACTAAAAAGATTGTCCCCATCTTTCCTATAGGCTCCCTTTAAGTACTGAAAGGCTGCAATCAGGTCTCCCTGCAGCCTTCTCTTCTCCAGGCTGAACAAGCCCAACTCTCTCAGCCTGTCCTCATAGGAGAGGTGCTCCAGCCCTCGGATCATTTTTGTAGCCCTCCTTTGGACCCGCTCCAACAGTTCCATGTCCTTCTTGTGCTGAGGGCTCCAGAGCTGAACGCAGTACTCCAGGTGAGGTCTCACCAGAGCAGAGTAGAGGGGCAGAGTCACCTCTCTGGACCTGCTGGCCACGCTTCTCTTGATGCAGCCCAGGACACAGGTGGCCCTCTGGGCTGCAAGCGCACATTGCTGGCTCATGTCCAGCCTTTCGTCTATCAGTACCCCCAAGTCCCTCTCAGCAGGGCTGCTCTCGATCCTTTCATACTCCCAGCCTGTATTGTATAATTTCACTTCTGGCACATGAATAGCCAGTAGCAATTTATGAATACTGCGTGAGACTTCTGAGGGCCTCCCTCTGTGTAGACCTGTGACAGGCTGACAGGCAGGGCTCGGAAGTACGGTGAATGGATCAGGAACAGCTTTAACCAATTTAGGGACTTCTAAGCCAGGTGGTAACAGTATGTTGAGTGCTTCTTGCAAACACACAATCCGAGAAAATCCAGTGCCAAAATTCCACGGCATTCAAGATCAGCAGAAAGCAAGCTTCAGAATACTGGCTATATTCCCCTACCTGGGTTCTCTTAGCATATCATACTAAACAGAATTAGTTTCAGGAGCAGTTCCGGCCTTACTCACAGTAGCTGGCACACAGAATAAAGAGTGATCTGTACAGGCATCTCAGAAAGCCGTGTATGTTCAGGGCCATATAGCAAGACAATAACCTGAGCTCAACAGGGCGAGGACAGGGGTTCCAGACATCCATCTCTAATGGTGTCTCCAAAAGAATTACCTCTTTTGTCTTTCAGTTGCTTATTTTCTCTAACTTACTCTTCACTTAGTTTTAATTTGGCTGGTAAAAGAGCAAATGCAGAGCACTTTGGAAACACTTTGTTGAAGATGGGGGATGCATAGCCCAGGCTGAAAATGACTGTACAAAACCTCTCAAAGCACTCAAACTCTTGAGGGAGTCATGTAAAGAATCAAAGGGGGAATTTCTTTATATGTATAGCAGGTTTTGTAGGAAGATGCCCAAATCAGGGAGTATTAGTGAGCTAAGGAAAATAAGAGACAGTCTAGAACCACTGGCAGGGGAACTTCTAGTATTTCTGGAAGCTTAAAAAAAAAATATTCCAACTCTAAATTAATCGGAGACACACATGAATCTATAAAGAAAAAAGACTTGAGAGTATTGTAAAAAACAGATTTGTAATTCATAGCCATTATTTGCTAAGAAAATAAGTATTTCATATTTTATGTTGAATAAGTTAAAAAATATTGTTGAAGTAGAAAAATTGCAGAGGTTGATTTTTTTCAGTTTGAGGTTTTTTTGCTTTTTTCTGTGACTTTTCTTTTTGAAAGGAAGGAATGTTACAAATTATTCTTTACTATTTTAAAATACTCTCCAGTTTTGTTAATTTGTTAAAGGCTACTGTTCTGAGAGATGTAAAGCAATTTTGGAAATACTGAGATAATTGTGATTTTTCCCAGCTGTACATTTCCATTAGGTATATGAACAAAGTTATTCCTTTGCTCCCATTTTTGATAAAAACAAAATAAAATTACATTAGAGGTATATAAAAGCTTAAAAATCCTCCCTTCTGGGGAAATAGTGAGAGATTGATGTTAATGGGTTTTGACCAAGAAAATGTGCCAGTTTTCAACAACCTTATTTTTATGACAGCATGAGAAGCTCCTGAATGAAGAAATTTATAGTGGAAATGTTGGCAAGAATTTACCTAACACTATTTAAATGATACCACTATGTTAAGAAATGCACTGGATACCAGACAGCTTTCTGTGGAAAATGATAAACATTCAAGGTCTCTGTAGGGAATCTCATCAGAGCTATTTTTCTTATTCAGAATAGTGGGTCTCTTTACTGTGATGTTGTTTTTACACATGATATATGGGAATAGAGATGAAAATAACATTTGTTAGCTGTTAAAATTTTTATTTCAACATACTCTATAGTACGTATTTACATAGTGCTAAATTAATTATTTTTTATTCCAATAATTGTCTCTGGTACAGCCTTTTTTATTTTATTTTCTCCCTTCTTTGAGAGTACAGATGTGATTAAAACTCTCAGAATTATACTGTTTTATCACTTGCATGCTGAGCTGCATGCTGGTAATAGGAAGTGCCCTGAATTAAATCTTAGGATTTTAGACTGGTTCTCAGTGAAAAAGTAAAACAGCATGAAAGTGACAGAGCAGGATTTACACCTTCCCACCCTCTCCTGTCCAAATCAGACAGCATTTTAAGCCAGAAGTTTTCACCTAGTCCATTTGGTATTAATTTGCATTGTTTTGCTATGTGAGCAATAGTTAGGATGTTTTCCAGATTCGCAGAAAAAATTAAATAGATATGTTATTTATAACTACAAATGTTAATGTAATATCTAATATAACTATTATGTGTATAGTTTTGTTTTCTGAGTGAAAACTTTGTACTCCTGATGAACTGTAGACAAATTTTGGTTTTGTTATTTAATCTGCCTATGCTTTTCTGCAGGGTGAGATCCAGCAGCTGTTGATTATAGCTGACCCCAGAGCTGCATATGACTATTGTGAGCATTATAGCCCAGACTGTGATTCCCCAGTGCCCAGTGCTGCTCAGGCTCAAGATCCTCAAGTTGATGAGGTGAGTAATCAGTCATGTATTACTAGATTTATTGCACATTAGTGACTGTACTGGATACAAGTTACCCAAGATGCTTTTACAGCTGAAAGGTATGCGTTGTTCTAGATTCGAGAGAGGAAGGTTGCAGGATTGCATTCATTTTTGCTATCCACTTATTTATGTCAAACATTTGAAAGAACCTGTCACACTGGTATTCCAATAACCAGCATGCTCAATGAAGCTGAACTGTAATTCCTTTAAAAATGATAGCAATATGAGTTTGTTTAGTTGTACCTATTTGTTCTTCCTGTGTACCTTTATAATTTCACTGATGCTGAATACCATCAAATGACACATTTGAAAGATATGGGAGCTATGAATATTCTGCGATTGTAAACTACTTCTGCTAGAAATGGCACATGTTCTAATGAGCTGTGTCCAGTGTACAAATGCATGTACACACAAAATTATTTCAGCCAGCTCCACTCGTAGCAGGTAAATATCAACAGGGACGAAACTGTTGGAATTTTTCCCAGAAACACAAAAAATGTTTACAGAAACCATTTGTTACTGTAGACAGTTCTCACAGCCATCAGTAGAGTAATTCACTGAGGTCAAGATAGTTCCTCAGATAAGACCTCTTAGGGTCAGCAGTTGTATATATTGTTGTACAGATTCTAAATACTTGCATCAAACACTGTAAAGTGGAAAGCTTTTGCAAAATGTAACTAGTCTTCATAGAACTTGGCTCTGGATAGTTCATGTGCACTCAACTGTGTGTGATCTGATTGTTGTTACTGATTGCTCAAGAGATCACTATTTAAAACTTGCTGGATTGTTCTCAGATGCCTGCTTTGAGTCGGTTCTGAGACAGAGCTTTTCCTAATGTGATAATTTTGTGGTTACTACTTATTCTAGCTGACTGAAAATTATGTCATGAAGTGACTAAGGTCCATAGGTCCCAGAACTTAGTTCAAATGCACACCCATTGCATCAGAGGTATAGTTCAAGATGTGTCAAGTCAATTACACATAGGCAGAGGCCTTTACACTACATTACAGTGTAAGGAGCCTGATCACTTCATGAGGACCCTGTAGAACCTGTCTGTGTGCCTGGCTATGTGGATCTCCATGCACTATATTCCAGAAAAAAACCCAGACTGAAAGCATATTGTTGATATTTTACATGAAGAAAATAAAAGATAGCAAAATCAAACTGATTTTTTTTCTCATTATTAAATTCCAAAGAAATTTGAAAATTTGCTCAGGAACTTTCCTGGGTTTGCTGCTATGTGACTTAGCACTCTCATTCTTTTTCTGTTTCCTGCTTGAAGGTTTGAATAGGCTAGTGTTTTTCTACTTCGAAATAAGACTGAAGAGTAGTCAATCTAATAAACTGATCTTTGTGGGAAAAGTTGTTAAAATCATCCCTTGGCCTCTTTCTTGAAGAGGAATATATATAAATACTTAAAATCTTTTAACTAAGTTGAGAATACTGTCACCTCCAAACTCACATCAACTCCTAAGCAGGAGTTAACACGGCTTAGTGAGATTGCAAATATTTGTTTGCTCTGGCCACTGCTAATGGCAATGATGACTCCTGTCCTTTAGTGAAATGCATGTAGAGAAGGCTTGGAGTCCACAGAAATTAGCTGGGATCAGACTGTAGGTTCAAAATCTATTCGAGATTAAGAAGAATGAATACTTGTGCTTAGTTATTAGAAATGACTACTGGTGAATTATTAGAGTGTAATTAAATGTTTCCAAAGGATGTAGAATGTGAGTAAAATAGTCCAGGGATTACATTCCCTCGGTAATGGATGACTAGCTAAATCTCCAGCTGTCAAATGTTATGTTTATACTATATCAAAGCTGTTTAACACTAGCATCAGTTGAGAGCACTCATTTGTGGATTAAAAAAATAAGCCACATCATAATTATAAAAACTATATGCACATATATAGTTATATGCTCATCATATAGAATTCCCAGTTGTATACTGCACATCTATTGAGAACAGTCTGTGAGCACCAGAGAAAGGGAACTATAAAATCAAAGAACTGGCACTGTTCTCCTTGTGCATCCTGAGTAGACATCATCTATAGCATAATGCAACTGCCACTGCAGCCAGCAAATATCTTATTAAATTCAGCAGCCTTTGCAAAAATGCTCTTGGGGTTAGTGGCTTTTTAATGTGTTTTTCTAAGGACTACTTTTTTGCTCTGTAATAACACATACAGTTTGTGGGAGCACCTACAGAGAAAAAAGTGAAATCAAAGATCTTAATTTGTAATGTATCATTTTTATATGAATTTGAAAAAATTTGAAAATAGCTAAAAGATTAAAAAAATGGAGAACTGCCATTTCTTTCTGCTTCTGTTTATTGCTCTGAGTGGTGTTTGAATCATTTTGATTTCTGAACTGAGACATGATTTGCTTGTTGCTGTCCATAAGGGTTATATGTGTTACTTTGTATGAATATTCCCAGTGAAGTCAATGTATCTTTTTAACATCTTGTGTAATAGTAATCTATTGGGGCACTAGTGGATGAAAAGCTGGACATGAGCCACCAATGTGTGCTCACAGATCAGAAGACCGACTGTGTTCAGGGTTCATCAAAAGAATTGTGGCCAGCAGGTCGAGGGAGGTGATTCTGCCCCTCTACTTTACTCTAGTAGACACCACCTGGAGTCCTGTGTCTGGAGCCCTCAGCACAGGAAAGAGATGGGCATGTGGGAGTGGGTCCAGAGGAGAGCCACCAAAATGATCTGAGGGCTGGAGCACCTCTCCTGCAAGGAAAGGCTGAAAGAGTTGGGGCTGTTCAGCCTGGAGAAGAGAAGGCTGCGCGGAGACCTTATAGCAGCCTTCCAGTACTTAATGGGGGCCTATAGGAAAGATTGGGATAATCTTTTTAGCAAGGCCTGTTGTGACAGGACAAGATGTAATGGCTTTAAACTAAGGGAGGGTAGATTTAGACTAGGTATAAGGAAGACATTTTTTACCGTGAGGGTGGTGAAACACTGGAACAGATTGCCCAGAGAGGTAGTGGAGGTCCCAGCCCTGGAAACATTCAAGGCCAGGTTGGACAGGACTCTGAGCAACCTGGTCTAGTTGAAGATGGCCCTGCTCACTGCAGGGGTCTGGGCTAGATGAGCTCTAAAGGTCCCTTCCAAGCCAAAGTATTTTATGATTCTATTCTGTGAATCTGAAATAATCATATTGGCAATTCTGCCAGCATAATGAATAAGCAATAGAACAAATGACTGACTGAATTGCCCAGAATTATAGAATTGTCTGCTAAATGATAAAAAATTAACTTGTTAAAGATAATTTGAGATGCAGCCTATCAAATCACATAGATAATTCATTCTAAGGAAATAAATGAAACAAGTCTTACTTATGTAGTGGAAAAAGTTATAGAAGATAGCAATTCTGATTTTTCTAAACTGTTGATTGCAAAATTAAGTAAGGCATTAAAAGATAAAAATATCATTACAGCCAGTCTATATGGAAAACAATGATTTCTAAATGACTCTTTGCATGTTTTGAGGAGATTATAAGTTTGATAGTGATATCTGATAGAATTTATAGACTTAAACCTTTGTAAAGCTTCTGATTTGTCAACATACGGTATTTGAATGGAAAAAAAAAAAAGCATGGCAAAGATAAAGTACCTGACAGACAGATTGAAATCTGGCTGCCTTATTTCAGAAATTACTATAAACTGAGAGTTACCACTGAATTACGTTTTTCGTAGTTTCTTAGGAATTGTGCTAGCAATATGGAAATGAGTGTAAAATGGATGGTATTAAAATCTGTCAGAGTTGTGATATTGCAGAGCAGTAAACAATGATGTTAACATAACTAAAGGCAAAGTTACACACATACAAGAAAAAGAAAGAAATGCAGGGCAAACATAGGAAATACACACTGCAATACAGGCTGCTTGCATGTGTTAATGTAAATACCTTTTGTGTGCAGCAGATTGTCCCCAACTGTGGGCTTCATCTGCTGCTATATCAGTGAAATTAATTTTGGGGGTACAGGATTTACCAGACTAGGATACTAATCAAACTGAAAGCCAACATGAAAAGATTACTGTTTAGCTAGATTGATTTCCTGGTTTGATCTCCTATGTTTTCACACAAACTCTTGTGTTAGAAAGAGGGTAAAAGAGACCACGGGGCTAAAGGCTAGGCAGGACTGTGTCTTTCAGGGTCATGTTTGGCTTAACCCAGCAGAAGCTGAAAATATTTGTTGGACAGTAGCCTTGAAAGATTTTGGTTATTGAAGTAGGGAAACAGTTTGTACATGAGCACTCAAAGCAAAACTGGCAAAAAAATGCAGTGCATGTCTTGATTTGTAAACAAAGGTTTAAGAACACAGATATGATACTACTTCTCTGTATGTAGTGGGTTGACACATATACTGGAACATCACATATTGTTTAGTCATTAGTTACGTGTTTAGTCATTAAAAGAAACATTGAAAAAATGGAAGTGATTCAAATAAAAGCTATGTAATTGTTGTAACTTTAGGAACTGGAAAACTTAATGTGTTTGACTTGTCCACAATAGTGACAAAAGCTTGAAACGTGTCTCAGTTCGTGCCGAGTTTCAGCATCCATGCAGGGACAGGAACGACTCTCACACATTGATGCAATGCACAGTCGATTCGATTCATTGGTCTGCTTGCGTGATTATATACGTTTTTCATATCTGCACACGCGATCACGCTTATTCGGATAGGCTACAGACATAAATCACGTGCTGTTCACGCACCCCATATTCCCTTATGATTGGTAACTATGCACTAACGCCAATAGCAGCAGACCGCCTCCATGTCCTTGAACACATCTTGTTTTTGCTAACCCACATCATGTTTATTCTTAGCTGTCCTTTCCAGCGGCCTGTTCAGTTATGCTAACTGTTTTGTTTGAGCAGCCTAGTCATGCTAACTCTCAAGCTACATCGACCCCAACAACTCCGCCTTTTTCTTTTCAAAAAAAGCTAAGCTATCTTA